CCCCCCCCCCCCTTTTATTGATAAATAAACGACAGCTGCTGCGAAAGGCCAACAAAGCAAAAAGCAATATGGCCACAAGAGTGCTAAAACAATACAGTGCGCTATCTCCCCTTACTGTGAAACAATTGAATATGTCCCCCTAAATCTCCAAGCAAACCATAAACAACCCCAAAACACACCTATGTGTGTATACCCCCGTATATCAAGCATACGCATAAAACACAATAGTTACGGTGCAAAAGAATATTAAACGATGTGAAATAATGTGTGACTCATTAATATTCGAAGATATGCAAATCAATCGGCATAAATCATCAAACAATGTGACTAGTGTGTACATAAATAAAGGGTGATCAATAATATATAAATAACTAACTAAAGTCCATATAAATGACAAAACGTCATCCGATCCTCACAGGACAAAGATGACTCGTGATCAGTTCAAACAGTGAGGGAAAAATGTCTAATCCTATAATCCCGATCCGAAGAAAAAACATTGCTCCCTACTCACCAGAATCAAATGGTCAAATCGCATTGATCACAGGACGCTACTTTCCCCAACCAAGTAATGGCTTCCAACAAGTAATGGCTTCCTACAAGTAATGGCTTCCTACAAGTAATGGCTTCCTACAAGTAATGGCTTCCTACAAGTAATGGCTTCCTACAAGTAATGGCTTCCTACAAGTAATGGCTTCCTACAAGTAATGGCTTCCTACAAGTAATGGCTTCCTACAAGTAATGGCTTCCTACAAGTAATGGCTTCCTACAAGTAATGGCTTCCTACAAGTAATGGCTTCCTACAAGTAATGGCTTCCTACAAGTAATGGCTTCCTACAAGTAATGGCTTCCTACAAGTAATGGCTTCCTACAAGTAATGGCTTCCTACAAGTAATGGCTTCCTACAAGTAATGGCTTCCTACAAGTAATGGCTTCCTACAAGTAATGGCTTCCTACAAGTAATGGCTTCCTACAAGTAATGGCTTCCTACAAGTAATGGCTTCCTACAAGTAATGGCTTCCTACAAGTAATGGCTTCCTACAAGTAATGGCTTCCTACAAGTAATGGCTTCCTACAAGTAATGGCTTCCTACAAGTAATGGCTTCCTACAAGTAATGGCTTCCTACAAGTAATGGCTTCCTACAAGTAATGGCTTCCTACAAGTAATGGCTTCCTACAAGTAATGGCTTCCTACAAGTAATGGCTTCCTACAAGTAATGGCTTCCTACAAGTAATGGCTTCCTACAAGTAATGGCTTCCTACAAGTAATGGCTTCCTACAAGTAATGGCTTCCTACAAGTAATGGCTTCCTACAAGTAATGGCTTCCTACAAGTAATGGCTTCCTACAAGTAATGGCTTCCTACAAGTAATGGCTTCCTACAAGTAATGGCTTCCTACAAGTAATGGCTTCCTACAAGTAATGGCTTCCTACAAGTAATGGCTTCCTACAAGTAATGGCTTCCTACAAGTAATGGCTTCCTACAAGTAATGGCTTCCTACAAGTAATGGCTTCCTACAAGTAATGGCTTCCTACAAGTAATGGCTTCCTACAAGTAATGGCTTCCTACAAGTAATGGCTTCCTACAAGTAATGGCTTCCTACAAGTAATGGCTTCCTACAAGTAATGGCTTCCTACAAGTAATGGCTTCCTACAAGTAATGGCTTCCTACAAGTAATGGCTTCCTACAAGTAATGGCTTCCTACAAGTAATGGCTTCCTACAAGTAATGGCTTCCTACAAGTAATGGCTTCCTACAAGTAATGGCTTCCTACAAGTAATGGCTTCCTACAAGTAATGGCTTCCTACAAGTAATGGCTTCCTACAAGTAATGGCTTCCTACAAGTAATGGCTTCCTACAAGTAATGGCTTCCTACAAGTAATGGCTTCCTACAAGTAATGGCTTCCTACAAGTAATGGCTTCCTACAAGTAATGGCTTCCTACAAGTAATGGCTTCCTACAAGTAATGGCTTCCTACAAGTAATGGCTTCCTACAAGTAATGGCTTCCTACAAGTAATGGCTTCCTACAAGTAATGGCTTCCTACAAGTAATGGCTTCCTACAAGTAATGGCTTCCTACAAGTAATGGCTTCCTACAAGTAA